TCACACTTAACACACTTAACAACAGCAACACACTAAACATCAGCAAAACAAAAGAGATTATAGTGGACTTCAGGAGGCAAGGAGGACATCACACCCCCATCATCATTCAGGGGGTTCCAGTCGAAACTGTCAGCACCTTCAGGTTCCTCAGCCTCCAGATCACTGAGAGGCTGAGCTGGTCAGAGACCACTGCTGCCATCCTCACTAAAGCCCACCACCACCTTCACTTCCTGAGACAGTTAAGGAAGTGGGGGATGAGCAAGGCACCACTCACCAACTTTTACCGTAATACGATTGTCCTGACTGGTGGTATTACAGTGTGGTATGGTGGAGCCACAGTACAGGACAGAAAAGGCATACAGAGGGTTATGAGCTCCACGCAGACAATCACTGGGACTGAGCTATCCTCCATCGACCAGACATATCTCGACAGCTGCCACAACCGGGCTCGAGCTATACTTTGGGACCCAATTCACCCTGGGCACGATCTGTTTTTACCCGTGAGTTCTGGTAGGAGGTATTGTAGTATCAGAACACCGATGAACAGATTCAAAAACAGTTTCTTCCTCCAAACAGCCCACATCTTAAACAGCTCAAATTAGCACCTGCACTTTAAGGTACTGCACTGTTTGCAATTTGTCCTCTCTTCGCCGCACTATAATGTCTATTGTCTAAAATAATTGTCCATGTCTGTTTGTCATTTGTGCCTATTTTCTTTCTCTAATGTTACTTCGTACAGCTGGGAGAGTAAGCACTCCAATACACTTGTTGTACATGGCAAATAAAGAAATCTTGAATCTGCTACTAGCATGCGTCTTCCAACAACATTATTTGCTATTAAACATCTGTGCAAAATATGTTACGACTTTCCATTCCTGTAACGTCAAGGCTCAAAAGCACTCGCGACGGAAGTTATTTTTCCTGGGAGAGAGAAGAGTCCGGCACAAACTCCTGCCGTGCAGAAAATGAACCGACAGCTGTCAACGTCACTGAATAAACACGTTCATCCTAGTTCCGCAAAGCACGGTTGCATCGCGGCTCCAGTCAAACACAAAATAAGTGACTGTTCAGCACAGTGG